CAATGTTTATAGCAGCACTATCAACAATAGCCAAAGTATGGAAAGAGCCCAAATGTCCATCGATGGATGAATGGATAAAGAAGATGTGGTATATTTATACAATGGAGTATTACTCAGCAATCAAAAAGAATGAAATCTTGCCATTTGCAACTACATGGATGGAACTAGAGGGTATTATGCTAAGTGAAATTAGTCAGAGAAAGACAAATATCATATGACTTCACTCATATGAGGACTTCAAGATACAAAACAGATGAACACAAGGGAAGGGAAGCAAAATTAATATAAAAACAGGGAGGGGGACAAAAACATAAGACATTCTTAAATATGGAGAACAAACAGGGTTACTGGAGGGGTTGTGTGGCGGGGGGAATGGGGTAAATGGGTAAGGGGCATTAAGGAATCTACTCCTGAAATCATTTTTGCACTATATGCTAACTTAGATGTAAATTAAAAAAATAAATTACATACATTTTTAAAAAAAGAAATGAATCAAAAGACAAAGTCAACATGCTTTGAGCAATAAGAGAATATGGCACTTTTAACTGTGGGATCAGTCTAAGGCCAATGGAAGTTAAAAGGATGACAAGATTAAGGGAGGATAAATGATAATTAGGCCATCCTACAAGGAAGAATTTAGAAGGACGAGGGGGAAGGGAATAGGACTGGCTAAGGCCAGTGATGGGAAAGACCAAATGTGTCCAGAGAGTGCAGAGGCCTGGGTGGCCATGGGAGAAGGCCACAGGAGAAGGCCACAGGAGGAGAAGGCCACAGGAGGGCCAAGGGAGAAGGCATATGCTGGGGAAGCAGAGGGAGCTAGACTGAATGAGGAGAGTGAAGGAAGTGAGGGCAGGCTGCAGAAGGCCTAGAAAAATCAGCAACTGGATCCCACTTGGTGGACATTTACACTTTTAGAATCATTTTTCACACCCTTGATTTAACCTTTAAAAGGAAATGAGCCTCAGAAAAGACATAAATCTTAAAAAGCAGTAGGGCAATGGGGCCAATAGCCAGTCCTGGGGGCCCACATAAAGGTGAAATTTGGGTTACAAAGAAGTCTTAAATGTTATAATAAGTTCCATAGTTTACTAAAATTAATGGTTTATCAAGGAATAATACAAGTCACAGGCCTAAATTCGCCAGCAATTTTCACACAAAGATAAACTCTTTTCTTCGGTAGAAACTTACTTTTAATATCACCGCAGGGTATATTTAATAGATTTTAAAAAATACTGTAACTGTTAACTAATATTAACCAGAGAATGACGCCATTCCCTAATTCTAGAACACCCAGAAATACGTAGACGTCAAAAGCTCCAAATGCTTTTTTATGAGACAGTCAAGGTTTTGAAGACAGCTTCAGATAAACCTAACAATTGAGAAGCCGTAAATATCCTTGCTCTTTCCACCACTCTCCGGCTATATTTAGCAGCACAATTTCCTTTGTTCACAAGTTACTCTCGCTAACTCCATATTTATATTCTCAAAGGCAGAATGCCTTGGACCTATCGGTTAAATGAGTGGATGGCTACATGGATGGACAAACACGTGAACCATCAAATGACTGCATTAAGATCTGTGAGATGAAATGGATATAACGCTTCATCAATGGGCATCCTAGATCTTCCTTCACCGGGGCTAAAGCTCCCGGGCCTCCAAAGATATGTCTGTCTCACTACGCAACAATTAGACTGGGATTAGAATGGAACAGGGGGAGTGAGAAAGTCTGTTGTTAAAGGAAGGGCGTTATTCTAGGCAAGGGTGGTAATGTTCAGGAGAGCAGGGGTGGGTTCGTTGTGAAGCTAGTGGAGCTTAAGTATCTGGGTCCCTTACTTGCACAGGCTCCTTCCAAGCACATGAGGCGCCCCAGTGATGTGTCCCTATGGTCAAATGCTTCTGTAAAATTTGCCAAAGTAAGATGTCAGCAAATTCATTCTCCTGAAGAGAGCCCTCAAAATGTGGGGCCCCACAGGCACCCGGGTCTGTCCTGGCTGAGAGGCAAGAGGAGGCTGATGGTCACTGAGCATGCTGTTGGAGCAGCGGGAAGGGGAGCTTGGGGTGCCGTTGCCATTTCTGGGCAGTTTCCTGCTCCTTTCTAAAAACACACCATTTCCTAGGCCCCGTGTCCTCATACCCTGATACACCTTTCTGCTGTTACATCTCCTTTGCGAATGAAGTCACAGGAAACTCTCGGCTGTTCCAAACTTCACGTCAAGCTTTGAAGTGCTTTTCAATAGCAGAAATATTGGGCTCACAGGTGGGCTTTGTAGCTATGGTAAATACTTCTTAGTTATCTGTCGCTACTGTTATCCCACACCTCCAATTTGGAGGAGAAATTCTGCATAGGCATTGAGGCAATAAAAAAGAACATTGAACTATATCTTAGCTCTTTTGTGAACAGTTTCCTTTTATTTCTTCTCGCATGGAACTAATGTGCTCATCATATTGTACTGGTTATGGGTGGGAAAGCAGTGGAGAGAAGGGAAATGCTGATTACTACATCACTGGTTGGCAGTTCCCTCTTAGCTTCTGGAAGGTTAAGTGGTCAAGTAGCTTCTTAATATGAGATCAAGGCATTTCAAGGTCTGACTCATCCGCCGGTTATCTGGCAAAGTGTTTTTAGTAGACTTTGGACAAAATGCCTGCAGAGGTCAGAAGAGAAAAAACTGACCACAATGAATAGAAGATAAAGACAAAAAACCCAAATCTCTCACCTTGGGAGGTTCCTATAAGACTATTGCCATGTTATATGTCCAGGTACATATCAGAACAACATATTTAGAGATCGCATTTTTAATAACAGGTAAATAGAAACAAAGGCCATTTTGGATACGTCCTGTGTTGGATAACGACATTTTGCTTCTTTCTGTAACAATTATTTTATGAAAAGATGACAGCAAATTCTGTTGCACTCCATAAGTTAAACACTTGACATTTTTATTCCTCAAAATGGCACATTTTAGAAATGTAGATATGTTTATTAATTAGTGATTATTAACACCCAGTAAACAACATTATGTCTTGTAAAAACACAATCTCACTTCACAGCATGATGCTGAAATCTATTATTCCCTGATTCCATATGCTGAAATACACTCAAATGGTCACAAATGACCTTAAGCATTAAATAAATGTAAATGAGGACAACATAGAAAATGTGCTTTTGATTGATAACTAAAAGACCAGGTTGCAAATCACGTCCCTAAAGAAGGCCTCCCCAGAAGGGTAGGGCAGTCTACACCGCAGAGGGAAGGCTGTCCTAAGAATGAAGGATACACAGGTAACAGATTGCTCTTTATCCTGACCTGCCTGAGGCTTTCTGGGAGTTTGTTATTTATATGAGGAACACAGAGCACATTGTCCCCTGTGCCACCAGCCCACTCTGACATTCTACTGCGAAATTTCAAAACACATACGTGGACACTCCATTATCTTCACCAGCTGACAGGAGAGAAAAATAATTATTGCTATTCCATGGCCTCGTCCCAATGTGTTGACCACTGTAGGTTTTAAGCGTTGTTGCTGTTCATTCATCTCCCTCCCACACCCCCAAACTGAGCAGTTTGGGTGGGAAAGCATCTTCAACACAGAGAAAACTCAAAATATCAAAGGGTGACAGGTTAAGAGTAATAAATAAATTAAATAGTTAGTTAAAAATCAGACTGTTCTTCTAATGTCTGGGGTTTGACCTATGCATGAAAAATGCACAAATACAGACATTTCATGGGAAAAGTACTGAACGATGATTACTCACTCTTCTGGTTCCTATCATCAGGGCAAAAGGAAATGTAACATCACAGAAAGCACTATTGTTTTGGTTGAGGGGAGGCATTTCTCTAAGTTTGAATAGGAATCAACAGAATCTGAAAGGGAAAGGACACCTAGCCCATTTTACAATCATGAATGGAGCGAGGTTTCTCAAAGGGGCCCGTCTTGTGCATTGCAGGATGTTTAACAGCATCCCTGGCCTCTGTCTACCAGATGTCAGTAGCAATCCTCTCCCCAGGTCAGGACAATGAAAAAGTCCCTGGTAGCAAGGCTGCCCCTAGTAACAGAGCCTTCATAAGGAGGTCTCACGAGGGACCTCCCCAGCCTCATCCTGTACACTCTCAACCCTTAAATCATTCCCAACCCAGGGTTCAATACACTTCAGTTTTCCTCATTAATTAATTGAAGATAATGAAAATGTCCGTCTGCCTCATTACAAGTTCTTTTCAACATTAAATGAGATACTTTTAAAGTGCTTAGAACAGGGCCTGACCCACAGTAAATGCTCAGCAAATGTTAGCTATTATTTTTTAAATAATCATCCCTAGTAGTGAGAAAACCAGAGTGTTTTAATGCAGAAGGGTATCTTACCCGCTTGATATTTTCCGAGTTTTAAACACACCAGCCTTCTGATTCCTTGTGATGATGTCTCTCACGTCTGAAGGACACAGTTAAGAAAGCTTCTGCAGAGACTGTCAACTGACTCAAAACAAAACAAAACCAAAAGGTCCACAAATACGATGATCTTCTTACTGTACACGGAATGAGCATGGTGAAAAGAGAAGAGTTGTAGGAGAAGAAGGGTCTAGCCCTGGCTCTCCTACCACTCTTCACCACCAATGTTGAACTGCTGGCCACAGGCAAGCTCTCTGGACTTGCTGGGCTGCAGTTTTGTCACCCGTGAAATGGACATTCAGGGAGCATGCTGGCCAGGCCCAGGGCTATGAGTGCTGGTGGGTGTAGATGACTCCTGCGTGGACACCATGCCCCACTTGCTTAAACGAGCTACAAGCCCCAAGGCAAGCCTCTTTCGGTCAGTGGGGAGGGCAAAGGCAGTTTTCGGAGACTCTCCAGGTTGAAGAATTTCCAATCTCGTAAACGTTAGCAGAGAGTATGGGGACGAGCAGCAGGGAAGGGCTTGGCAGGAAGTGGGAGGCGAAAGACAGAAAAGCTTGGAGAGCCTTTGAGAGAAAACAAATTACTAAAGAAGAAAGTCAGTCCAGGGAAAGGCCCCTTGAAGAACTGGCTTTACAGACTCATGCCGCGGCCTTTGGCCATCTGCTGGCACATAAGGGCTTGTACGAGAAAAGCCATATTTCTCGAAGAGATGTTTTGAGGAGCTAGTCCATTACATCACACAGCGCCATCTTGATGAGGGCCCGTGGGAAAACTCATGTCACATTCCAACACCAGGGCAAGGCTAGACTTGAGATCAACCCTTTTTGCTTCAACTTCCAGGCACTATAAATCTTACAACTGTCCTCGTTTCTCTTCTTGCTCTGGTCCCTGTGCAATCCAGAGCCAAACGGATGACCAAACTCTATCAACCACAAGAGCTCTTATGGTATGTGTTTTCTGTACTGACCTCTCATCCTGGCTTCATCATATTTTCCTGGCTTTCTGATTTCAATAATCCTCACTTTCTCATTTATTTCATATGGTATATCCTATGCGTCACTGTAAAAAGCCTCCAAGTCCCTCTTTCGGATCAAGGCAGGTTTAAATAAGCAAGAAATAAAATAATTCCACTGAAGGCTGCAAGCTGAACTAAATTGGGCCCATGGGGAGGACACCAAGCAGACAAGCGATGTTCCCCTATTGCTCAGAAAAACAGATTTCCTTTTTTTTTTTTTTTATTATAGAAAAACAGATTTCCTGAATGCTCCAAACAAGCATTGGCCAAGATCTCCCCGTAAGAACAGAGCCACAGGACTTTTTAACCCAAATCTCTGCTTGAAACATCAGGCACACCCATTTCTTCTCTGAGTGAATAAGCAGGTACTGTGATAGCTTTCTCCCCCCCAGGAGTGGGTAGGAAAAATCAATTAGGTCTCCTAATGAAGGGCTTTGTGGAGGTTTACAAAAGTGCATTATATGGAGACTTTTTTTTTTTTCTGGGTGAACTTTCCTGTATGCAAATTAAATACCGTTAAATTACATTCATTAAAAAAATAAAAGAGACTAATTTGCCTACTTGTTTTGATTAACTAAAATGACACATCGGCCTACAGTTCTGTCTATTTCAGGAAGAAAGTATTTCAGGCAAGTCTTCTAAACGAATTGTCTTGTAAGAAAGGACAGCTGACATCTTTATTCTGAGAAGACCAAAATTAGTGAAGAATCAACTGACAACTGTTTTTTGGTTATGCTCCCCCACACGCCGGCCACACCCTTCTCGATGTTTCCATGACATCCCACCGCATGCAACAATGTGCCTGGTTCACCTGTAGCGTCGTATGAGTACATGACTAATCTATCAAGCCAAACATATTATTTTGTTAGTGGAGGTAATACTTCTTATAAAATAGTCACAGGGAAGTTAAATTACATAAGCATGAAAACCTATTAATAATTTTTAGTAAACATCTTAACGCTCTATGCTTTTATACAATTTATAAACCTGTGGCACTGGGTGGTCAGGTTGAAGCAAGTGTACGTATTTGTAATTCTGGAGGTGCTTTTTTTTTTTATATATAATGAAAAAAATTCACAGCAGTATTTGGGCTGCTTTATTTTTAGAACTGGGAAGGAAATATGTTTTATGGTTTAGGAGGTGTTTTTATTTTTATTTAAAAAAAAATTTTTTTAACGCTTATTTATTTTTGAGACAGAGAGAGATAGAGCATGAACGGGGGAGGGTCAGAGAGAGAGGGAGACAGAATCTGAAACAGGCTCCAGGCTCTGAGCTGTCAGCACAGAGCCCGACGCGGGGCTTGAACCCACGAACTGTGAGATCGTGACCTGAGCTGAAGTCTGACGCTTAGCCGACTGAGCCACCCAGGCGCCCCTAGGAGGTGTTTTTATATTAAAACAAGTCCAAAGAGAAAAACAAATGGCAGTAGTGTATTTAAATATCTTAAGAGATACATTCTGATATTCTGCTCCCCCCAACCTTCACTTTAGGTCAGATTTTGAGGTGGTTCCTCTGGTTGGCATGTATCTAATAACAAATTTTATCATTTTTTAGTGTCACTTCAGAGTAACAAAGGAAATCCAATCCATATATATATAGATATATGTATATATAAGAGCCTGGGTGGCTCAGTCAGTTAAGCGTCCAACTCTTGATCTCAGTTCAGGTCCTCGCCTTAGGGTTGTGAGTTCAAGCCCCATGTTGGGCCCCACACTGGCTGTAAAGCCTACTTAAAAAAATAACATAAAATAATAAAACAAACGTTGTGATTCAGAAAGCATTACTTTCTGAGTTTATGTTACCTTTATTTTCACTGGACCATCCAAGGTGAGGGTCGAAAACCATGAAGTTATAATATAAATCCTGTTCATTTTGATCACTGGTTTTTAAAAATGCTTGATGTGGCAATATTTGCCAGTTTAAAGGCTGCAAAACATTCTTAAATGTGGTTGTTATCAAAGGAATTGAGAGGATGACAGGAGATGCTTTGAACTCTGTTAGCAGTGTCAACTGTTATGTTTTTGGATGAGAGGCCTTTTCTTACTGAGGGTGCTGAGGAAAATGTAAGATGACACTCAGCAAACCATTCTAGGTTTTGGTGAAACAGAATGGTTTAATGGGGGCGGGGGGAGGGAAGCTTTGAAGGCAAATGAACCTGGCTGGCTTCTAAGCTGATGTTGATACTTAACGGCTGTGTGAACTTCGGTAAGTTAGCCTCTCTGAGCGCCACCTCAAAAATAGGAATAATGATTCTGCTAATAAATAATAAATTAATTTATTTAATTTTATAGGCTTCATGGAGTACTCCATAGGATGAGCCTGACACATTGCCTAATTCATGCCAATTCATTATCTTTTTCAAGAGTTCAGGCAAAAGCTTTGGAAGGACGAAGAGGCTGGTGAGTAACTAAAATGAGGTTTGGCAGTTAGGCTTTATTTTCTCTCCCTGCCACTCAGAACTAATTAGGTTAACGTTTATATTGTAGAATTTAGTATTTAAAAAAATTTTTTTAATGTTGATTATAATTAGCAGGGGGCACCTGGGTGGCTCAGTTGGTTAAGCGTTCGGCTAGGGCCCAGGTCATGATATCGCGGTTCACGAGTTCAAGCCCCACATTGGGCTCTGTGCTGACAGCTCAGAGCCTGGAGCCTGCTTCGGGTTCTGCGTCTCCCTCTCTCTCTGCCCCTCACTTGCTCACGCTTTGTGTCTCTGTCTCTCAAAAATAAACAAACATTTAAAATTTTTATTTATTTATTTATTTATTTATTTATTTATTTATTTAGATTTAATATTTATTTATATTTATTTTCTCATAATATATTATAAATTATAAATATTAATTTATAAATTATAAATATTAATTATAAATATTAATTTATTTCTACAATTATTGTCATTTTTGGAGAGACAGACAGAGAGACAGAGCACTCCAGCTGGGGGGGGGGGCAGGGAGGAGACACAGAATCTTTGACACAGGCTCCAGGCCTGAGCTGTCAAACCCAGAAAGCCGGACGGGGCTGAACGAACCGCGGAGATCATGACTCTTCAAGTAGATGCTTACCGACAGAGCTACCCCTCCCTATATTGTAGAATTTATTTAATTATTATTATTTTTTTTTTTTTAAATTTTTTTTTCAACCTTTATTTATTTTTGGGACAGAGAGACAGAGCATGAACAGGGAGGGGCAGAGAGAGAGGAGGGAGCATTACAGAATCGAAATAGGCTCCAGGCTCTGTCATCAGCCCAGAGCCCCTAATGCTGTGGGTCAACTCAATGGGACCGGGCGAGATCGGTGACTCTGGGTTGAAGTCGGACGCTTAACCGACTGCGCCACCCAGGCGCCCCTATATTGTAGAATTTAAATAACTGGGAGGAATCAAAGAATTTCTGCCCTGCAGATTTTCAATGTCTTTCCTATGTATAAATGTGCTCCAGCCAAGGCACAGTCCGAGTCCCATAAGAATACGCACTTGGTTCGTCTTGTCCACTGCTATGTCTTTAGCACCTGAAATGGCGTGCAATTAATAGTGGTTGGGTTAGTTTTAATTAATTACTTAGATTAATTTATTACTTAATTTAAATTGAATTTCCAAAGCCATTTATTGAGCTCCTACCCGGTATGAGGCACATGGAATCCATTAATGACTCAGCCACCAAACAGAAGTGCAGTTGGCACAGCTATTAGAGGAAGAGACCTGAACACAGGACGATGGCGTGGCATTCCCAAGGTCTCAGCCATCCACAGCACAGGCTGTGCAGTCTACATGAAGCTGAATTTATTAATTCCTCAAGTCAGGGATTCTGCTAATAAATAATGTTAAGCCAGGGGTGGCGCCTTTAAAATGCACAGGAGATTTACCAATTTTTGGTGGACCCTGAGCTCGAGATCATGGTCCGGACTGTGCATGCTGGGGGAATAAGACGCCTGAGTCAGGAGCACAAGAAATGGGTCAACAAGCACTTCCACAGTCCGCAGATAATACACTTGATGTTTCCTAAGGGTGGATCAAGGCAGGGTGCTTGTGTTGGGGGAATTAGTGAGTATACCAGAGAGGGCTCCTCACTTCTGGGTGTTGCACTTTTATTCTTGATGACTTGGAAGAGGCTTAGCATTGACAGTAATTCAGTATATCACTTCCCTCCCCTATTCTTCTGTCATTGTCATCACCAGCTATGAACTTTAGTGAGTAATTATTATCTGTAGGCACCGAGAGATTTCTTTCTTTATTACACCAAAAGGGCCACGCCAAAGCAGAGGGAACGCATTTCAAACTATTTTAGGTAAATTTGAGAAGTGGACGAACCAAAGGATCCCATTTCTAATTTATCTCTTGTTCTCTTTGGGTGCAGATACACATGGCATCTGTAAGGAGAGGGAGCTCTCAGGTAGAGGGGCTCTGGGTTAGACCCAGCAATGCAGTTTAAGGACCAAGGAGAACCTGAGGGGCACGTACCCACGAGTCTAAGAAAATATTTAGGACTTACAACATTCACTTATACCTCAAGTCTTAATCTCTTTTCAGATATCTCTGTTCAGTAGATCTCAAATCAACATCTAGCTTTCCAGGGTCAAGGGAAAGAGCTCTGAAAGACATAGCCAATCCATTTGATACATCTTAGGGAAGATTATAAATAACCTCACAACTGGTTGACATGCTTCTATGAAATAAAGATTCAGAAGTCATCCATTCATTACATGTTAAAAAACAGAAGTAACAGAAGATAAAAAGGAAATATCAAAACATGCTGTTTTTTTTTTTTAAAAAAAAAAAAAGGTAAAAACTAGAACCTTATAAGCCTAAGAGACTAGAAAGTAAGATTCAGTTGGATTCATTAAATTCAGATGCCAAGAACAACAAAAATAATTTTTAAAATGATGAGAATAATATACAGGCCAATACTCAGATGTGATGTGCGATTGCCAGGTCGATTTTCAATTACATTTCACTGATGTATTCATTTGTTTCTTAATGTGCTCATCTTGCCCATTAAGAATAATTAGCAGCTTTGCTTAGAGATTTCCTGGCTTCTGGCAATGTTTCTCCCCCCCCTTTTTTTTGTTGACATCCACTTTTACTTTTTAGAAAGTAATTTTTGGATAATATCCTACAACTGGTATATAATTTAGGCTTCCTAAAATTTTAAAGGAAAGATGTAAACAGTAATTTTTAAATGAATTTGTTTCGATCTATATGCATCAACAGTATGTGATGCAGTAAATTAGTTATTCTCACAGAAAGTGGGCACACAAATAGAAAAAAAAAATTCATTCATATTAACCCTATTCAGGAAAACAGCTTACAACGAATGCCAATTGTAAGCTCTGTTAGCAAATCGAGAATAACATCGGTATTAAAAGCAGGAGAAACACATTGCCAATTTTTAAGGCTTTATGCATGCTTTTTTCTCTTAATTAAAAAAAAATTAGATCTAGTTACAAAAGAAAAAGGCACACACACAGAACAGCTGCATGATAAAAACTGAACTCCATCAGGAAAGTCCTGAGAGATGAAATAAAACACACTACGAGTTTTGGTCTGCATCCTGAAAGGACCTACTTTATCTACATTGTAAAGTTCTTCCCCTCCTGCCCTTTGGCACCCCGCTATATTAAACCCATTGTAAAACCCAGCACAATAAAGCACTCTCAGGGCTGAGCTTCTGAGGACCAAATGTTAAAAATCCATTTTCTTGGGAGGGGGCTGTACCAATCATTTCCTTGAAAGGCCAGCAGAGTGAATACAGAATCTAAGATTTTTCCTCTCCGGTTTCAAGAGCTGGCATGGCATCTTTGCTGTTTAAAGCAAAGGTGTGTTAATTAATGACATTAGCATTGCTTCCCTTCTTTGGAAGCTCTGTACTTTAGCTCTATAATAATTTTAGCACGATTAAATTTACATGCTGACTACAGATGTTCCTATAGTTTGATAAAAGTTCGAATTTGTTTCTGACGCTATTAAATGAGGCACCTGCTGACTTGGGAGGAAAACCTTGGGTTGCTGGGCCCAACCTGAAAGTTTCTGTGGCTAAATTGACCCTCTCTTGTCCAATAATCCTCCTTTCCCCACCCCCACCCCCAAGGGGGGTGGGGGAACATCCACTGGGGCTGAGCCAGCATACCTGACTTCATCTCACTGTCTGTGTTCCCTGACATGCGAAGGAGGAGCACAGTGAAATGATACAGTGCAAGGCATAACTCAGAATAAAGCAGAGTGAATGAAACAGCACAGGCTCATCTCCGGGGATATTTTGAGAAACTTGCGACAGTCTGAAGATCATGATTAAAATCCTGCATCTTAAAAAAGGAAGCACCTTTTGTGATCTCTTTCCCTTGTGTGAAAGGCCAAGATTGTGATTGGCTGTTTTTCCTTCCCGAATTTTTTTTTTTTTTAAGTCTGTCAAGCAATTAGCTGGGTGGGGCTCTGTAGAGCACAGAAGGTGCTGCGGAACAATATTAGCTACTGTGCTTCTTACATCCCCTTTCTCCTGTTCGAGCAGCCTGATAGAGCTGCTGCAAGTTTTGTTTAAAAAAAAAAAAAAATTACATAGCAGGGGTAGAAAAAGAAAATCGAAAACAGGCTTTATGTAAGAGGCCACAAAAATCAAAAGTGCTTTGGCATTTTAGGGGTCTAGAATTCACGTAAGTAGATTGCCTCCTTCATGATGCAAATGTAAGGCACACCAAAAAAATCCAAAGCAAATACACCTTCCACTTCGCCTCTCAATTTCTAACGGCTGTTAACTGCTCCTGAACAAGTCAGCTCGATTGCTAAAGTAGCCACAAATTATGCTTGCTTTCTTAGTTAAAGTACAGTTCAATTTTCACGAACTCTGTGTACATATTGGTAAAGCATAATCTAATATAATGGGGTTTGAACTGTAACAGCATAGCAGAAAAAAAAAAAGATAGCTTTTATAATCCTAAATAAGAGGAAATAATGAAAGACTGATAGCTGTTTCCAGTGGGGAGATACAGGTAACCCCTTAGCAATGAGAGTAGGTACCGTGCTACTTAGCACATAACGTTCAGTATCAAACGCAAGAAAGGTCATAATGAACATGAAGCTGGATGTTAATTTTTGCAAGCAATATCCAATATAATAAATATTCAGTTGTTTCTTTTATCCTGGGAAACTTCCGTGGAAATAAAAGGACAAGAATGCCTGGAAATTATTATGAAACAAATGCTCTTATTGCCTCGAGAGGTCCACAAATCATAGGCTCCTTTAACAAGAAGTGACTGTAAAAATCTATCGAGATAAAAGAAAAAAAAAAACAGTCGTATCCAATGAATCCCATATATCTCTACTTTTTCTTAATTACTTATCATGTGTGTGGGGGGAATTCTCTTTTAATACCCCATGCTGTCTTTCTTTATATCAATTGTTACTCAGCCGGGAAAAGGGAATGAGCACAACAAACCCGTTTTCTATCTGAATAAGGATACTTCTGATGGCCTTTTCATTCCCATCAGTTAACAGAACTTCTTTGACATCTGCAGAAATAGCAACCTGAAAAAAAAAAAAAGGAGCACAGCAAACAATGAGCAAATATGCTTGTCTGTGTGGAAGTGAAGACAGGAATGACAAGCCTTCAGTATCATGCTTCCTCACCTATTCCTCTGTAACAATCTTCAATCTTTTTCCATTTTATGTCTGCATTATTTTAATCATTCAATCAAATCAGTCAATACTTTTATCATTCCATTTGCGGGAGCCTCTATCTTGCTATCATTCTGTTCGGTAATTGCATTGTGACAGCGGATGATGGTATTCTGAGAGGCTTTCATTTGTGGGCTTCTGTTTATCTAGTAGAGCCATCATACAAGGCTGTCTGTCACTCTGCCTTTCAGCTCGCTTCTGTCTGACTGCCTGATGCCCTTCATATAACTTTGCATTGCAGGCAGATGGCTTTGTGAGGGTAATTTTTTTGTGAGCTTTGACATGCTCGCACATTGGGCTGTAACCTCGACACATTGTGTAAGAGCGACAGGTTTGTCAAATGCCAATCAGTGTAACAATATGCTTTTATTTGTAGAGACATAAAAACTTGTCTAATGCACTGTGCTGCTACATAATATCTCCTGAATACATGACTCAGAACCCAGAGAATGGGGAACGACGTTCCTGAATGGCCAATCTAATTCAAAAGAATCTAATTACTGAGCGCTCTGGATCATGTTTGTTGGTGTAATAATGCAGGCAAAACATTAGCAGCTATATCATGGTGCTCCAACTGTGATTCGCCGGGCTATTCCTGTATCTTAGCAAATGGGACTATAATCTGAAAAAAAAAAAAAAAATGCTTTCGCTATGGCAAAGAAAGACTGCGCGAGGCCTGGAATGTCACAACAAGCGATATTGACTACACTGAGGTAAAATGTTTCTGCTCATCGAGGCAACCATAAAATCAATATGATCCGAAAGTAAGTCAATCTAGAAGGTCTCTCAAGACCCGGCAGCTTGACCGCAGCTGATGCTGTTGACGGTTCTCTGACCCAGCAGTTGGAGGCCCTGGAACATTTTTCCTTTTGTTCCTCCCTCTGAATGGGATTGGAATTGAGAAAAGACCTACCATGAGCCCAGCCAAGCATGTCATGCCACCCCCTAGCTCACACACAGCAAGGTCCCTGAAAGAGAGAAAAGAAATGGTAGAACCCATACAAATTAGATGAAAATGGTCAGAGAGATATATATGTTACAAGAACAAATTGCCATCTGCAGTAAGAACGGCACTACCAGGAAGTTGTAGAGACATGACTAGGCTACCTCATGTTGCTTTGCGTTTTAAAAATAATTATGAAATAGAAAAGTCACAAAGCAGGCAAATCAGTGGGGGTTCCCTCATTAGTGTTCACTGCAACATTACCACCGCTGAGCTGAAAAATCTGAGAAGGTTCCCTTTTTTTCCCTTGTCAATGGCGCTGTCTTTTAGAACTAAACTAGCTAGAGTAGCGAAAGATAATTGTTAGGAAAGGATAACACTGTTAATCCACATTCATTCCTTCAAAAACAGTTAGACAAGTAAATGAAGAACATATATGAGTGTGTATATACCTATGTTATAGTCACACACACACAACACACACACAAATAAATGCAATCTGGAATTAAAAAAAAAAAAAATGGAAACCAAACTGAAACATTTTGGAAAGCCGAACCGCCCCCATAAAGAACAATTACACAAAGAGCATTTAGCAATTAACACTTAAATCACAACTGACCCCAACACAACACAGTGAATAAACAATGCAGGGGCATAATATGGTTAAGCCAGCGAACCCGGGCTAAAGTAATGACCGGGCTCTGACTTCGCCGCTCCAAAGTAAAGCGGTTCAGAGTTAAAGCGGACAGTCTAGGGTGGCACTCGGCACTCACCTTCCCCTTTGTGCCTACATATTAGCCCTCAACGTGTGACATTCTTGCCCTGGCCCACAGCTCGATGATTGGAGCTCCAGTCAAGCTTAAGCACGGCGAGAAGAGCCAAATGCCGGACTCCCAGGGCAGCTTTGTGGCCCAAATTCAATACTGCCCTGCTGTTATTTTATATGCTTAAACCCTTAAGATTGTTGCATCTTCCCAGGTTGGGAAGTTTATCACCTCCACAGGGGAAAAGAAAAAGAGAGAGAGAAAGAGAACTGAAAGGGAGGGAGAGGTGCAAAGAGGGGGAAGAGGAAGAGAAGAGGCCAAACGAGGATGTTCATATTCCGAAATGCACTTAATGGGCATTTAGTTGTTCAAAGCAATTATAGACTGGTTGGTAAATATGGGCCACAGAGCTTCAAAAAATACATATTATTGACCCAATCTTGTAAGTACATATTGTTAAAACACACACCATGATCTCTAGTGACTTGTCTGGAATCATAATGGGCTATTCAGAGAGTATATATTAGATGACTTTCATTAAATGAGAATTAAAATGAAAAACCTGTATTTTCTGGGTCTACCAAACATCTTTAGAATTTTTAAATAAAAGGAGGTTTTTCCCCCCTCTTTCCTAAATCCCATCCATGGGTTTAATCTATAATGCACACTGACAATTGAAAACAGTTATTTCCGTAGCATGAGTCTGTAATAGTAATTTATATTTTACAAATACATATTGTTAGGTATATAAAATACCTTTAAAACCAGGGGTGGGATGGCATCTTTAAATAAGAGCTGTGGGGTATATATTTATCAAATATTCTGCAATGATTTCCCTAGCAGAAGTTTAAAGAATGTCCTTATTGTGGTTTGTTTTTTTTTCTTTCTTTTCTTTTCTTTTTTTTTTTTTT